AATTGTAGTTTTCTTTAACCCAGAAAAGACCCTTTATATTTAAATACTTTATATTTACATTGAGGGGACCCTCTCTACGGAGGCTGCCATGTTTTTTACATCAGTCCAGACTGGACAAACTAAACACCTCTTGAGTTTTTATGGCAATTAAAGGCTTCCACAGGTTCTTTTTCATGTTTGGAACGAGAGGCTGAGGTGAGGGGTGTTCAGCTGCAACATGCAATTTCAATACTTGAATCACAAAATTCTACACACTGTACCTTTAACTCTTAATTGCAGTTCTTAATTTATTAAATACTAAATTTGTTTTCTAAGGCAGACAGTACAAGGTTCCCCTCAGCAGGCACCAATGTTATAAACACTCCTTTGTCCCCCTGTCCAATAAAGCCAGCACAGCATTGGCTGAAATATGTCTATATTGTTCATGATCACTGTTTTATATAGCACTATATGTACATTTGATCTATGCAGATAAATGTGTGATTGTTGAACGTATTTGATTGGCTTTTACAAAGTGCTGACAATTTGTCTAAAGCAAATTTCCCACTAGGACAATTAAAGGGACAGTGTGTAGAATTTAGTGGCGTGTAGTGGTGAAGTTGCATGTTGCAGCTGAACACCCCTCACCTCACCCTCTCCTTGAAACATGAAAAAGAACCTGTGGCAGCCTTTAATTGTCATAAAAACTCAAGAGGTGTTTAGTTTGTCCAGTCTGGACTAATGTAAAAAACATGGCGTCCTGCGTAGAGAGGACCCCCTCGATGTAAATATAAAGTATTTAAATATAAAGGGTAAAGAAAACAACAATTTGTACAATTTAGATGAAACACGCAAGAGAACATATTACCGATTATTTTATATTCATTTTCTGCCCATAGATCCCTGTCACCTTAAATCTTACACACTTGACCTTTAAGTCTTTTAACGTCTTGTGTCTAATAACACTGTGATTGAGTCAATCATTTCTTTTACTTTCAAAGTTGTTCGTTCACTTTGTCTCATAAGATTTTGATATATGGGCATTAGCGTGTGAAAACCTGATCCCGGCCTGTAAGTCAGGCCAGGTTCAAACGAAAATCTGATATTCAGGATCAGGTTTGGTCACGTCCTTCATTTTTACGCGCTTGTTATTGTGGAAAACATCGTTCTTGGGTTTGGCTCAGACACAAAAAAACTGAATGCCTGTCTGGTTCGGACAGAATACGACTCTAATGGGCTTCTGGTAAAACTATAAGCTTGTGTTGTTTCCCTGGTTCATTTCTCTTGCAGTTCTGTTATAGTCATACACACGAATGCTCCTACTTTCCACCATGTTGTGCTCATGATCACAGGAAAGAATGGGATGGAGAGGGAATACAAAACAAGGCTCTTTCCCCAATGTGTTTTTATATTCCCATACAGTTACATGTGTGAAATTATTAGTTTTCTTCATTCAACAGTTTTATCATAAAAGAATCATCCAGTAAAATGTTACTTACCTTTATGAGCTGGAGGTTTCTAGTTCTTCAGAATTGAATATTAAGCGTCTGTGGCTGCAGCTCTTCACTTGAACATTTTCATTTCGTAGTTTGGTTTATAACGTTTATATCCCGTTCGTCCTTTGCAATTTTTCAAATCGATTACCTGCCTGTTTCTATAGAAACTGCATGCTAATATTCTTAAAATACAAGTGAGACCACAGCAGTTCGCTCTATTTCACTTCCTGTTTTATCTACATATTTTTAAGCTACAGCCTTTTTTATGAGACGAAAATAACGCTCACTTAATATGTGCTGGAGTTCACCTAATTTATGTTTCCACGTTTAAGTCATTGTGTCACATATTATTTTACCAGTTCTTAAATAACAAGAGGAGCAGGAGCTGCAGTTCTGAGTGATGTGATATTAGATTTAGTTAAATACTTAAATTTATTGTTCAAACACCTTTATGTTGTGTCAGAAAAAGTTGAATAGGTTATTGATAATTAACAAAGATGACGATTAAAGTTAACTGCTCACAGAACGCATCTCTATTTACTGGCAGATGTTATTTTTATTGAGGACTTCAGTCGGCCATAAAGAGCTCACTGAAGAAGGAAAACAAGGTCACTATAAAAGACTTCTTCCTTCCGTAAGAAGGGAGGAAAATTCTAGAGGGAGCTCCTTCCACTCATCTCTTTTTTACAACACTGCAGACACCTCATTTATCTCCTCAGGCCTGTTTTAGTGAGACTCGGCTTGGTCCATTAAATTGTCAGTAGTGAGACAGCTTTATTTGCCAATTCGACGACGAGAGATTGATCAGCGGATACTTTATCAGCATGTTATGAGCGTGAGGGAGTGTTCGTTTTCCCGAAGCGTAAACCTTTATTACCTTTGACGGCTTGGCCTTGCTCTTTATCCTGTCCTCATCTTTGCGGCTCCTCTTCCTGGATGTGGAAAGTTCCTTCCTGTCCCTGCTGCGCTCCCTCTTCTTGTCTTTCTTACTTCTGAAAGTACACAGAGCAACAATAAAACACCAGTCACGACCTTGCAGACAACAAACGACTGAGGACTTGCGGACACGTGCTGATGAATCCACCTCGAAACACAGAAATTGTTCAGGACAAACCTAGGACCTTTGAAAAGGTCACTTCTGAAAAGATATTTAGAACACGTCAGAAGAGTTCGGCAGAGCGGGTTCTGATGGATTTACCTTTTTGTTGATGGTGATCTGACTTTCCTCCGAGGGCTCCTGGATGGATCCTTACTCCTCCGATGGTGGCCCCTGACAACAACGCATTAACTGGATTACAGCACAGCACAGATGGGTAACCCACAGAAAAGAGTAAAAAATATATTTATATAAATTCAAGTGTAAAAAGTAAATAAATGCAAGTGGGCGAGAACTAGGTATTAAAACGATTGTGCAGTACTTTTAACATCTAAATCAGCTTATATGAAACGAAAAGTGCTGTATAAATACAAATACAGACCGTTTACATTGCAGGAGCACAGCGGCTGAGATGTACTGATACTTTTCCAAGAACCAAACTGACTGTGTATTTAACATGTGTGTTTAATCACGGGTGCACGTTGGGTCATATGTTAATGGATCTAGCCAGGCCTGGGTTTGACTTGGAGATAATTTCAAAGTAAACCAGATCCTTTGGAAAGTAAAACCGTTTATGTTGTTTGTTCTAAACATACCTGGAGCGACTCCGACTGTGTCTCCTGTCTCTGGAGCGGGAACGCCTCTTGTGGCTGTTTCGTGAACTGTGGGACTGAATCCCTGACCACGACCTCTGTGACGGTCTACTCCGGCAGGAGAAAATCAAAAATGGTATCATCATATGCTCACAGGATAAAGAGAGTGAAATCTAAAGAAACTCTGTAGCTTAAATGGAGACCTGTGTTTAGATCGGGACTTTTTCCTGCGCGTTCTTGAGTTTGAACTGGAGCGTGACCGGCGTGACCTTCCAGACCGACTCGAGGATCGCGTCTTTGTGTCTGCTAGAGGAAGAGCAGGAGCGTCAGCAACGGTTTGCAAACACAACCTTGTTGTTTTACGACTAAAACTCGTCGTACCTGGTTCTATGGCAGCAGCGATGGTCGACTGGGCCTCCCTCACCCTCTTCATCACACTCTCTAACTCCTTAGCAGCAGCCTGTGGCGTCATCTCTGGGGGTTTCACTATGGCATTATTGGAATGGTTAACCCTGAAAGACATCAAACAATATCAACTGTCACAAAGCCGTGAAGGCTATTTCAAGATACACGAACCCATTTGTTCATGTCTAGGACTTTGTAACTTTGTTTTGAGGTGTTCAAAAATCAAGTTTATTATTATCACTGTGATATAGGACTGATGCAACATTTAAAGACCGGATGCAAAGTTTCTGTACTTCTCCCTTTAGAGCCAGACGAGGACACAGCCACACATACACAAATGTGAAGCGGATATCGTGGGTCAAAGTTCACCAAAGTTGAACTCCACTTGAAGCCATGCAGTGATTTGCTTCCCCACAGGAAGCAATATTAAACCAGATAACAGCAGTGCTTCACTGGCGACAATAACGATGAAAATAACAATGAAGAGGATTCAGACCCAGACAATGTGTTGGCTCAGTTATTTGTTTTTCATTTACAGTGTCTGATGCAGGGCTGCGTTGTAAAATGATCTTAACAGTAAAATACATACTTCAGGGGTCTGTCCCCAAACATGACTCCATTGAAGGTCAGGGCTCTGGCAACCGAGTCCTGCTCCACGAACTCTACAAAGGCGAAACGGGTCGGCTGTGTCTCATCTCCTGCCATCCGCACAAACTTGACTTCTCCCACCTGCTTGAAGAATTCTAACAGCTGGTCAGCAGTGGTGGTCTGTCGAAAGATCGATGATCAGAAATGAATAACATAACGTTAACTGGTGCAGAACGTAAAGGTTTAATTTGGGTCTGAACCAGATTGGAGCTGCTGATTGTTTCCAGGTATGACTTCTCCAGCTCATGGAGGAATCTTGTGAACATTAACCTATTATCACTATAAGAGGTGTACAAAACTGTTGGTTCATTATGAAATTGTGGCAGGACTCATGAGAATATGGCAGGCTGTCACGTTCGAGATAAATGTAATGACCTGCACTCACTTTACTTGACTGACTTGATAATGTTTAAAATAGTCGTGATATTGATTTACAGTGATTTCGTCTATCTGACACAAATTCAACATTCCGTTCACCTGTGAGTTTAAGTTGCCGACGTAGACGGTCCGCCTGATCTCATCAACTTTTGAGGGATCCACATTTCCCATGAGGGGGGGCTGGGAGAGCACTGAAGCTGTGGAGTCAAGACTGGCTGCTGACATCCGGTTCACTAACGGAAGGTTCACCTGCAGGTGTAAAAACACACAGGTTTTACTTACATGATACAAGACAACTCAAGTTACACCCCACAACACGCCGACTCACATTCTGAATCGGAGCTGGATTAGGAATCGGGAGCAGTCCCCCTCCAGGAATCAGATTTGGTGCTGGAGCGGCAGGTGCCAGAAGTGACAAGGCCTTGGCCTCTTCTGGGATTTTTCCTGCAGAACAGAAGCAGATATTAGTGAAGGCAATCGAGGGAATCTTCTTTTTCCTCTATGTCTGCACATTTAGCCCACTGTATTCTAGAGAGAAAGAGAGCATACACTTCCCCATACAACCTACAAGTGTGCTACTGTCTACTCATGGTAAACTGGAGACAGAGCTTCCTTACTTTGTATCAGATTATTCTTCCCAGTCAATCTGAACTATTATTTTTCAAGTGCAAAAATCTTAACTTTTCACCCACAAACAGAAGAACACTGATTTTCTCCTTGGTCTCTTTTCATAGATCAAAACATTTAAAAAAAATAAAAAAGAACCACAATGCAGAGAATGAGTCATCACTTTGATGCATGGGTCACCTGTACTGGAAACATATTGGTCATGAACCATATCAAGCATGGGCGCTTTCCCGTGGGGGGGGGGGCGTTCGTTTTCGAAGTGTTGGAAAGGTGTGCAACACAAGACAACCCCAATGGCTGCAGCACTAATAGCACACAGGACATCAGATATAGAAAAGAACAACAATTTTAAGAACTGTAGGAAACGTTAACCAAGACTTAGCTACAAAAACAATGAATTTAGGAGCTTTGCTCATTCCTTTGTGTTGGAGCAGAAGGAACAATAACAACAATTTAACGTCACAATAGCTTGACAAGTTTTCTAACACTTCTGGTGCTAAGAAAATTGTCTAAATAGGTAACGACGGAAAACATTAATGCATGTGTCACGAGAAAGTATGTTAAATGGACAATTTGTGTTTTTAAACACTAAACATTTATATAAGAGCTGTGGTGTGGTAACTGTGAGGAAAACTCCGAAAGCAAAGAGAATACACAAGATTCTTTCTTCAAATTTGGTGAGGTTCTTAGTGACTGGGTCTCACTTTTTTAATGTCTAGCCCCCTCACTACAGCAACAGGAGTGGGAGAGTAAAGGGTTAGTGATCCTCCTAGCATGTCCCATGTCATGTGTGACACACATCCCACCGGTATGCCGTAGCAACCTGGACAGAATTCAATCACACACAAGCTGCAGCTGTAGCGGAAAGAGAGAGGGGGGTGGGGGTTGGACAATAATCAAAACAACAAACCAAAATAACAAATATAAACACAACGCTAGAGATAAGCAATACTGTAGTTTCTGGATAGAGACAGTAGAGAGTGGACAACATGGGAAAGTATGAAAGGAAACAAACCAAAAAAAGAAAAGAAAAATTAAATAAAAGAGACAAGGTGTCCATCTTGGAAGGCTCAGCGGGCTATTCTCCGGGTCACATTCCCCCTTGAAGGCTGCGTTGGCCCGATCGGGGATAGTGGCTTGGAAAACAATGCCTGACTCAGGCTAGTGTAGTGTAACAGCTGGGCCAGTCTAGTCATCTGATATGCACACATAATCACACAGAAAAAACATACAAAACCAAATTAATAAACTCAGTAGCCATCCAGCACCAAGTCACGTGGACAAAAAGCATCAGGTTAGAGGTGATTATCATTGTTTCACTGAACACAAGGGAACATCAGTGGCACCACAGGGACACATTGAAAGAAAAGGAGCACCGGGGGGGGGGGGGTTACATTAGCTGTGTTGTAATAAGTAACACAAATGGCAGTTTCCTGTGTGACATAAGCTAGCAGTCTTTACAGGGACGTTAGCCTGGGGGAGTGGAGTGTCCTGCAGCTTGGAAACATTCAACATGGCTCATGTTTTCTGCAGGAACCACCGTGTGTCCCCATGCACAAACCTAGACTGTGAGACAATTAGCTTGTAGCTAGTGGTTTGGGCTAGGTGTCCTGTGTCACAAAAATGGCTCAAACTGCAAAAACAACTAGCCATTTGAACGTCGTGCCAATTTCCCAAGTGAGTAAAAACTGAAAGATCAACGAAAACCTGCAAAGACTGAATTGAAGGGGAGGGGGGGCAGGTCCATATGTCGTGTGTGTGTGTGTGTGTGTGTGTGTGTGTGTGTTAGCTGCACTCACCTTCCGCACATGGCACCACTATGAGAGCTCTGTCAACAAACACAGTGTTGGTGAGATGCTGCGCCACACCAACACTGGAGGACTCCCGGTACTTTATATAACACACTTTGGACGAGAAGGACTGCGGCGCGTTGCTGCGGGAGACACACGTGCACAAAGAGTGAACAGGGGTTAGTTTGTTCATCGGACGCGATGATGCTTCATTTTTTCCTCGCGCGGAGGCCGCGGATCCGCGGTGTTGCTTGCGAGCGCGTGCCGGGAGAGGTGGCGCTTACTCGGGCGGGTAGAGCCGCAGCTCCTCGATGTCTCCCAGGAAGCCGAACAGAGTGCGCATCTGCTCGCTGCTCACGGCGGAGGACAGGTTGGTGACCTGGACCACAGCGGTGCCCGGGATCCCGCTCATTGTGCGCAGCTGACGGACACGTTGACAGATCGTTCCGGGTGGTGTGTGGGGGTTTAATGTTTGGTTCTCTCCGCCGCTCCGAGCCGAGCTGATGATCCGGAGGGCAGGTGTGGCGGAGGGTTCCGTCTGTCCGCAGAGAACTGCATGCACCTGGCGGGAGCGCGCACAGCCAGACTTGAAGAGGGCTCTGCTTAGTTATGCTGCTATAGCTCTGGACTGCTGGAGGAACTCCCATCATGCACTGAGCCCCCCCCCCCACTCATTTATTTATTTTAATACATGTCAATGGCCGTGTTTCTTTTTTCTCCCATAGTCCCTCATTGCAGATATCTCTGACTCCAGAACTGCCAGAGAACAACTGTTACTATTAACAACAACACTTAGTAGTAATTTATTATTATAGGAAATGTTGCTGCTATCATTAATAATCAATAACTTCTACACACTGTTTACACTTTAACTATAGTCAGAGCTGATACCTGATGGTGCACAAGTGTGCCCAGTCTCTCTCGCCTCTCTCTCTTCTCTCCCCTCTTTTCCACCCGTCTCTCCTCTCCTCGCCTTTTTTTCTTTGCTCACCCCAACCGGTCGAGGCAGATGACCCCCCCACGTTGAGCCCGGCTCTAAAGGTTTCTCCCTGTTAACCATCCTCCACAGTCTCCAAAGTGCTGCTCATTGTGGGAACTGTCGGGTTTCTCTATATTAATAAGAGTTTAAGGTCTTGACCTTCTTTGTAAAGTGCCTTGAGATAATGTATATTATGATTTGGCGCTATACAAATCAAATTGAATTTATTCCTAGAAATCGACTGTATAATTGTAAATACCTGAACATCCATTATCTGGCAGCATTTTGATTTGTTTCATTTGGTCAGTACAATGAAAGATGTCGGACGAGAAGAAACAGATCAGCTTAGCAGTGCAATAATTAAAGTAGACACTGGAGAGGGAGTCACACATTCTGCTCTTCAACTAAATACCAACATTTTAAAACAGGCTGTATTTGACTGAATTAGGCAGTTTGGGATTTTTCCACAGTGAAAGCCTCAATCAGATCAGAACGATCACAGGGAAATCATTCTTTAATATTAAACTAATAAATCTGATGACTCATTCATGAACAATAGGATTTATCAGCATTAATAAACACCAACAAACAAGAATATAGTTGTTAAAAAGTACGTTGCCATAGAGATGATGACGACTGGTTGCGTGTTTCTGCTGTAGCTGTGCGCGCTCCCGCGAGGTGAATGCATTTCTCGGTGGGCAGAACTCGGCACAGCACCGGAACTTCTTTGGATTTCAATGGCAGTGATCAAACCAGCTCATGGGCGCATTACCGCCACCTACTGAGCTGGAGGGTGGAGCAGTTTGAGTGGCAGGGGGGAAACAGACTGTACATTAATGGAGAGCTATAAAACTCCCACTGGGTTGCATGTGGAGAAAGTCTATTCATGTTTTTAAATGGACTCCTGACACTGAACTGAAACACAAATGAATGGTGGATATTACCCATGATCCCTTGCTTCCTGAACCAGAAGAGCTGCGGATGACACAAATAAACCAAACTGGTTAGAATTCTTATTACATATTGGAAATAATGTTTTTTAAATACATTGAAGGTTTTCTCAGGAGTCATGTGACCTTTCAATGTGTTTTCTTTCACAGACTTACCCTTCTGACATCTTTCTGTTTTCTCTGGTCACGATCAGCTCCGTCTACATATCTCCACACCCAGAACATTGAAGTGTCATTAAAACACACTTTGAGTTTAGTTAGTCTACTTTCTTCTAGTCTCATACATCTGTGTAGTTATAACAAAGAAAGAGAGACGCCCATGTGTGAGTTAACATGCTGTATTTATCTATGTGTTGTTTCTTTAACAATAAATCAGTCATCACTCAGTCTTGTGTACATGATGTACTCTTCGCAGGTGTTTAACTAGACACAAGCACAGCTCAAGCGAACTTCTCTGAGTAAAACATACTGCAGAGATGAACATGATGAACATTTGTGTGGGATTCTAGATGGTGTGTGCACGTTTTAGAGGAGAACGTTACTAATCTGCCAGCACAGAGCCTCTCCACCACTGAGAGCCCTGCAGTGTCCCCCTGTGGTGGCAACTGAGCATCATACATAACAGTACATACTGCACAACTGGAATTCTCTGCTGGTTTATCACATACATTTCCCAACAACCACCTCTTCACTAGTCAGCAATAACAGCCAAGTATGTCAGGTAACAAGTCGCAGCAAACACAAAGTGTAAAGTGCAAGTGTGAAGAAAACAAAGCTCAGAAAATGGCAAATCACACACACACATTCCTCATATGCTCTGTTGCAAGGTATATATTTACAAAATTGGTTAAGACGTTCATCCTCATCCCAGTTCTATAACTCTCCATTCAGCTCAAACCACGTGGATGAAATAAAGAAAAAGGATTGTTGGTAAAGAGCATTAGTTTATTTTCCACAGGTTACTTCAGAAACAGTTAATTATGTACAAAATCTGGAATGTTGGATAAATGCATATCAATCCTCACTGTGGCGGTTTCCACAGAAACCTTAGAAATACTAGCTATACATTAAAACAGGTGCCTCTGCATTGCAATTTATTGCTGGTTTTACAATCGCAAGTCACTAATGCCATTAATAACTCTTTTGTCAAATTTGTTTTAGAGTATTTACAATTTGATTAATAAGGTGTAAAGTCCATAGAAGACTGCTAAATAAATAAGAACAAATACGGGATCGTAAGAAACAGACCAACATGGATGAAGAAAATGTTCGATCTCTCTAGATTGTCTACAATGTCAGACTGTACGTTTTGCCGTGAATATAAAGTGACCATAACCCCCCAATTTTTCCCCTCTACTCTAAGAAAGTTACCAACAAAATTAGAACAAATAATAAACAGTAAATCTGTGTAAGATATAATGTCGTGTGAATTTTTTTGGGGGGGGAATGCACATTACGTTTTCCAGCGAATACATTTGACCAGTTTTAGATTTTGTTAAAAAATTGAGGGCACAGCTTCACTTTCAAACAGGACGACAAATTATTAGGAGGATACAAATTTAAATTTCTATCATATACTGTACAAACTATTCAGTGGTCACAAATGTACTGCTGGATTTAATGGACTCATTGCTCCGTGTGTGAATTGGATCATTTCCACTTGTTTTTTTGGAAACACGTCTCACTGAGTATTTATTTACCACTAACAGGCTGATTTCATGCAACTGACAGGTACATGGAACATTTGATGTTTTTCCTTCTGACACAGTTTGTTGACAGTCATATGTTTTTCAACGGTGTAAGTTGATTACTTTGCACAGATGAACACCAGAAGCAGTGGTGTTCGAAGTGTCTGACAGTTAAAAGCATCGGGTAAAGTGACACAAACCTTCACTTTTACACAATGCAGAGATGTGGTTTTTTTAAGCACTATCATACACGTCCTGTGCCGCTTCATTACAAAAAAAAAATACGTTTCAAGTTATAAAAACCATGTAAAACCATCAGGGATTAGTAAAAGGTTGTGTTTAAAAAAAAATTGCTATGTGATGTTGGTTTTTCTGAATGAAAATAAAGGCTTTAAAATATTGCTTTCGAAGCCGTTATGCAGATGTGCTGACAAGGTTGTGGACGTGTGAATATTGCTCGAGTTCTGGGGTCAGAGGTCCTCCCCTATTCAAACAGTTCAAGGTCTATGGCACTTGACAACTTGTTTCTCCCAACTCTATTCTCTGTACAGCAAAGAAGAGAAAAAAAAGACATCGCTCCAAAGTTATGAGTAAAAACTATGATTAAAACATTTGTATAGACACAAAAGGCAAACTGTGGTCTTCTCCCATGTACAAAAACTTAAAATGAAACTGCCAGATGCTGAAACCCTTGTAAAACAATAACTCATCCCCACAGCGGCTGCCTGGAAGATGGAGCCCTTAAAAATTAAACACGAGTGAAACTTTAAGATGTTCGTATTCCA